AGTGAACAGTGGCAGCTTTAAGAACCAGGGAGCAGTGAGTGGAGACGGAGCCATGACAGAGCACCTCAGTGGGAACTTGGCAGCTGGTGGCAAGTACAGTGAGTATGCAGTACATACTTCCCTAGCAGTGTAACAAGTACCAAGTATTCATCCCACTGGCTGCACGGCACAACTTTGCTCTATCAACACCTCAACATTGTTGTCCAGGAGAACGTCTATTTGCTGAGACTCTAATGTTTACATTAGTACTATCAGGTCTACTCTTTATGGTTAAGGTTTACCCTGATACAGTGCTGATAAATGTTTACGTTAATCTGAGGGGTGACCAGCGTGACCCACCCTGGCAGGCAGGCTCTGTTGGAAGGCAGCACGGATGGACAGGCAGCAGTGGTGGAAGTTCCTGATGAGCTGAGGGTGAATGGAGCCGCTGAGCTGAGCTGTCTCTCTGTGAGTGGGAGCGATGAAGATCCCCTGGACACCGTCCATCAGGACGTAGTGAAACAAGGTGTTCTCAGAGCCGGAGGTCAGTCTGGCAGAAACAGGTTGCACAGAATAAACATTTATTTTCATATGAAGACATTGACACTAAATATTAAAAATATAGTTCCGTCCTCGCTGACGTACTTCATGGTGGTGTACATCTCCTCCGTCTCCCTGTCTGTCAGCGTTTTCTTTAAGGTGCCCAGGTAGAATGGGTTTGGATGCTTCATCCTGGGAGTCTGGTGTGGACAGCAGCAAACACGCTTTTACACTAGAATTAAAATATTCTACACATTTCTGTTTTTTTGACAATGTGTTTAATGTGGACGTGTTGGGCTACAGAAAACAGTTAACGTTTATTTGGTCCTAGTGGGGAAGTTACCTCCTGTTCATTTGCTGCCAAAGAAATGTCATACTAAATTCGAGGTGAACCTCCATGCCTTTAAAAATCTCACTCTTGTGTTCCAGGCTTCAATGTCTCTGTGGCCAGAGCTCTAATTTAATTGAATCTGACCAAAAAAACTGAGTGTGTACCCAACGACTAAAGTTTGTGTAAAAAGTAAAAAAAACCTTGAAGAGTCCTCCGCTGCCTCCGCTCCCATCTGACCCTCCAGATCCCAGAGAATCCCGTCTCCTTTCTAGCTTCCTTGCCGAGTCAGGGGTAGAATGTGGACTGAAGCCCGCAACCGTGGAGGAACTGGACCCTGAACCAGCGTCCATCTGTCCCTCACTGCCACTGTCTGATAAGCTCCTCTGAGGGCTGCACCTCCGCGACATCTCCCCGAACAGACTGCGGCCCCTGGATCCTGACGAGGGGCCTTTCACGGTTCCAGACAGTTTACTGAGAACAGGGGAAGAGGAAGCCACGCTGTCCAAACGATCACGGGCTGTGGCTGCAGGGAGGAACCAGTCGGCACAGGAGAGGCAGGGAGCAGGAGGAGCGTTCAGACGCTCCTCGATACCTGCCTCCAACGCCTCCAACTGCAGCAGAGTGGCCTTCACCTGAGGTCACGACACCACACAGGAAGTGTGACTTCATGCCGCTTTTACATCTTTTGAATAAAGTGAAAAAAAACTCTCTGCTGACCTGGTCGACGTAAACACAGTCAGGTCCTGGGTAAGCCAGCGCTGGAGAAGAACAGCCTCCTGCTTCTAACAGCACACACTGCATGAAATGTCTCTGAGGTGAGAACAGGAAGAACCAGGCTTACAACAGGCTGTTAACATTGTTTCAAGTGGTTGTCCTGCAGCAGGTAAAGACTGTTCTTCATACCAGGCCCACGATTAGAAGAAAGTGTCGTCCATGTGGTGGAGTGAAGCCTGTCACAGCCCTGCTCCTGCTGCTGCTGCCACTGTGAGCTCTCTGCTGAGGAAACACCTCCCTCCAGATGACCAGCTGCCCCACACGCTGCTCAGACGCCAGCGGCAGCAGACAGTAGTGCTGACAGTACAGACACACGTCCAGGAGATCCTCTTTAGGAAGATGGTTGGCGATCAGGTAGGACTGAGGAGAGGAGAAAATGAGACGAGGGTTTAGACTGGGGTCAAACCGTTTGGCCCATGGGCCACAGGAAGTGTGGGTCAGTATCAGATGACCTCATTGTTGGTAGTACCTGCAGAGTCATTGTATCTATCACCATCTAGTGGCAACAACTAAAAATGCAGTTGATGCATTGCACTACAGGAAAGACACATTAAAATAGGATGGAAAATTTGCATCTGACAAATTGTAATTTAATTGTTTGTGACAAACACACTGGGACACATCTGGCCATATCAAATCAGAAAACACTGAAACATAATAACATATAGATGTCCTTTCTGAAATAGCTTTGAGGTCACATTTGTTACCCACTTTGGGAACCATTGCTCTATTAAACCTTAATATCACCAGCTTCATGTGCTGTCAGATAACTGGATCAATAATTCATCAGTGATCAGGTTGAAGATTTGTCTCCGAGTCTAAGGTCAAGACGACGTCACACCGAAGTCACACTGCTGCCTTTATGTGGTGTGAAAGAACTGGATACAGTTAACAGTTATCTGATCCTTCACTGTTGACATGTAATCTGTGAGATAGGTGAGATAACTGTAGAAAGAGAGTGTGTGTGTGTGTGTGTGTGTATGAGAGACAGCGACTGTGACACCAACCTTGTAGAAGAGACAGGATCCTAGAATGACGTAGAGACGTCTCAGGCCGAAGAAGTCTTCTGACTGTCGCCAAAAAGAAAAGCCCACAGCATGAAGTCAACTCTGACTTTTTACTTCAAGCAGTGAAGCTCTCAGCTTCTAGTTCGCTGCACATCTTACCATTTCACCAAAATCAGATGACTCAAAATCAGAGAGAACAGAGTCCACCTCCACCTGTAGGACCACCACAAACACCGCTCAAATGAATAACATAATGCAGGAAATAAGTGACAAAGATCATCAACATTTGCTGTACTTACATACAATATTAGAGGAGACATCAAAATAGACAAAGATCAAAGGTCAGGACAAAGATCAGGCTTTTCTCTTGTTCACCATATTCTTTTCATTAATGAAAACATTTCCAGGATTTTGAGGTACAAGGAACCTGAAATAAAAACTGTTTGTCCACCAGTCTTCTATCATTTAAACCACCAAACATTTTTACAAAATTAGAAATAAATAAACTTCTTAGTGGAACAGTGGACTACAGAGGGCACTGTTGCTGCTCTTAAAACAACTAGGTAAGTACGGTGTAGTAAATTCAGGTAAAAAAAAAAACACCTTGATCTCTGGAGGCAGAGTCAGCCATCGGACCGCCGGAAGCCCCTCCAGGAAAAGGGTGACTGAGACATCAGTGGGTGGGGTCGAGGACCCGTCCCTCAGGCGAGACGGCTGAATAAGCTGCTGGAAGAAGAGGCAGAAGAAATGGTCCAGTCTAGGTGTGTTGTCACTCTTACAGAAGGCCCTGAGGAAACAATGGAGAAGACGGAGGTGATGAAAAATGACCAAAACGACAGAAAGGAAGGAATTACGTTTTTTTTTTTTCAAACTAGGAACCATCTTTTGTATAGCTAAACAGCTCAAATGACAAACCTGTCCAACGAGCCGTACATGACTTTTAGTGTCCGCACCACGTCTCCAAGCACTGTCTGTAGATAGAGTAGAGGAACTCTGCAAGAAAAAGACAAAACACCTCAGTGTCCCGGGTCGAACAGGGCCAGTCCCTGTCATCAGATACGAGGATTAACTGTCAAAAGATCGAACAGAGTTGTGTGTCAAAAATCCTGGTTTCTTTTCATCAAAAACTGTAAAAAGGTGCAGCGGGAGCTACTGCCGGACACTCCCAAATATCTTCAATATGTTCTGTAGAAGTATTTCTACCTACAGAAGGGGGCGCTGCAGAAAATATTTTGAAATCACTGCTGCAACATAGTAAATGGTGGTCGATTGAGGTGACCTTATGACCTTGAGAAAGAGAGAGGGAGAGAGGGGGGGGGGAGGGAGAGAGAGAGAGAGAGAGAGAGAGAGAGAGGGAGAGAGAGAGAGAGAGAGAGAGAGGGAGAGAGAGAGAGAGAGAGAGAGGGGAAGCTGCTTGTATTACTCACTTCATCAGCCTGTCAAAACAGACATGCTATTTTAAAGAAAAAACATTCTGCCAATTAGTGACAGGACTGACCTTCACTCCCCCAGGTGAAAGTACTACTGTCTCTTCAACACCAGCACTACATCTGTAGTACTTTATACAAGTCAAATAAAGTACTGAGACACAAGGAGACGTCTTCAACAGATACAGATCTCAGGGACCAATGAGAAAAATTAGAGACCAAAGACAGACAGAGGAGTCTAGGACTGTCAGGGTTAAAAAGGAAGTGAGGTCAGAGGACAAGCATTGGAAAGACAGTTGGTCCAGATGACGTTGTCATGGAGACGTCTGGGAGAAAGGGCAGAGGAGTTTCCGACTACATCATTAAACACAATCCTGAAGAGTGAGAGAAGATTTATGAAAATGGAGAAGGAAATCAACTGTGCTGTAGTAACAACAGTAGTACAGACGTGATGTTACTCTGAGCAGTACTAAGACTAGTTCAAACACAGCTGACTAATAGGTGGTCAAAACGCATTTCTAGATGTAGTCCTCGTGAGCCCAGAACCAACAACCGATTACATGTGGAATGAACAGTTCGTTCTCCCAGAAGTTGATGTGAAGTACGTGGTTATGTTCAGCGCCACCATCAGGTAAAGCACAGCATTAGCTGAAATGTACCCACAAATGTATGCACAAAATAATAAAAAATAAACTCAGTGGATGATCTAGGTATTAGATGTTTCATGACAATAGTTTATGGTTAGAGCTGATGAGTGCAAAATCAAAGTGGAAATGATGGTGGTGAGACCTGAGGACAGCACAGTGTGGAGAAGATGGGACAGTTAAGGGGAAGCCTGAAGGAGACACCGAAGGACCTGTTGTCCATTGTGCATGTCCCACTGTAATACTGTGAGTTTGTGAAGACTGACTGTGTCTCTGTACCTCTCCGCAGGTAGCCCGACGACCAGCAGGTTGTTGCCTTCCTTCCAGTAGCCGACGTGAACCAGATGTTTCCCGAGGAGGAGAGAGGAACTGAGGAGACAGAGGAGGAGAACGAAGCAGTAAATACGAAGCAGATGGAAAACATCAACACACTTTAGAAACCTGATAAAAACTGCCTCCTTATTTTCCACTTTTATTGTTGTGTCATTAGAAGTGTGATTTATAAAGTAGTTGTGATGAATGGAGCTGGGCTTCAGACATCACCGCAGGGTTTGGATCACGGCCACCTCAGATAAATTCATGACTAACATAAGCCAGTCATGTCTGATAGAATTCAAGGGTTTGAAGGAAATTAAAATCAGTTTTCATGATCATATGAGGACGATTCCATGTTCATACATAATCCCAGATTAATCCCAGATTAATTCCAGGTCTAATATCTGGAAGATAAAATGTATAAAAGTGTGTTTCGGACACATACTAGAGTAATTATGATGAAGTATTAAAACAGTAGCATCACTGTGTCCAGGCTGTTCCCATACCTGACGATCCTCCCTCCTGTCACATTCTCCAACATGTCACACAGAGTCAGGAAGATTCCTCTGACGGCTTTAAGCTGAATTGAAGCATCAGAGACTGGATACTGGTACAAGATCGGGAGCTGTAAACACACACACACACACACACACATACACACACAGAGTGGAGTTTTGTGAGGACTTGACTTAGACCTAACACGTTCCCTAAACCTTTTACTAAAACACTGACGTCCAGGTAAGACACGATGAGGAAAAGTCTCTGAGACGGTCGACTCAAAAGTATGAACCCAGTCTACTGAGGAAACCGTGCTGTAGTAAAGTCTCGTCTCTGCTCTTGGACCTGGACCGTGGTTCCCCTGATTTACTGTCAACCTGACAGTCACTGGCCGCCTCATTTAGAACTGTTAGTCCCAGGTTGGATCCTCGTCTCTTCAGAACTCACTTTTTTTTTTTTGATAAAAATTTTATGAGATGCTGGAAAGATTTTTGTTCCATATTTGACAGAACAGACTCTGACTTTTCCTGTCCATTTCTCCCCCATGATGTGACTGATGAGGGCAGAATGTGAGCAGAAGATCCTTCAGAGTCGGACTGAGCCAGAGAGGAACACACACACACACACACAGACACGGGGTCAAAAACCAAGAAGAGTCCTTTTCAGAAGTCTAAAAAACACTCCTGAGGCGAAAAAAGAAAAATCCTTTTGGCTTCATCTGAACCAACGTCACAAAATCATCATACAGTCAAAGCTAAAGAAACCCACCACAGTGTGACCTCTCCAACGTCTGCTACCCTGCAATCAAAAGATATCAAAGTCAGGCCTCGGTGGTTCCAGCACTGCACTGTCATTAAGAAACCCCACCACTGGCTGATGTGGCTCCTGGTCTCTGGTTCTGCTCTGACCTTCATGTCAGGATTTAAAAAGTAAAAAAAAATCCTCTGGCTTCCACAAACATGAAACAGACCTGCAGAACGCTGCAGTTCAGCCGTAGAGAGAACACAAGGGTCTCCAGGGACAACATGATTACAGTGTAGAAAGTCAGCGTACTTGACAAAAACCATTTACTACATGCAGTATTTAAACAGCAACGAGCCCATTACAAACTGAAGTTTAGGACCGGAGCAGAAAGTGTGCAGCGTTAAAATGACTGATCGTTTATGGACAGGGGAAACTCTTCAGCGGCTCTTCTCACCTTCTGTGGTTCCTGCTCCGCGTCTCTTAGGTTTCCTGTGTGAGAGACGCTGGACAACATCCAGAGCAGTAGCTTTTTGGACTGAGGACAGTCTTGACTCATTCAGGTTACAGAAATCTAAGATCAGGGATTTCCTCCACAACTTTAACACTCAATCCTCTGTGTGTGTGTGTGTGTGTGTGTGTACGATGGAAACCAGTCTGGTTCTGACAGTTTAGTGTTCTGGTTGCAGTTTAGTGGAGGTCCTGGTTTGACTGGACCACACAGTCATAAACATGTTTCCTCAAAGTACTTCCCTTCACACATAGAGGGAAGAAGACGAGCCCATGGAGTGGATTTGAGCCAATGCCATTCTGGTTTTGTAATATGATCCTACAGAAAGTACTCAGGGTTCTACTTGTCCACACTCAAACCTGAGTGGAACACTGACGTCTACAGACAACGGTTGACGGAACAAATATCACTGAGACCAGCAGAGCCTGGATTTAAACCCCTGACCCTCTGGTTGTGAAACAACCTGCTCTAGCCACTCATCGTTCAGCCGTCCAGTTTGGTTGAGTGATGGTTGTACATGAAAGCATTACTGCTACGCTGACAGACTTTTGTCTTCGACACCGTTCTCTCTCTGACCGATGGTCAGTCAGCTGCTGAAGACTGATTCGCAACCAACAAGAACAACAAAGTTAGTTCTGAGTCCAGAACATTTTCAAGTCTAGACAAATTGATGGCTGAATCCAGAACACGTTAGGAATGACATAAACAGGGACAGAGTTCATGAATACAATGGCAAAAGTTGACTTTACTTCATTTTACCATTATTTCCATTAAGTGGGCGTGGCTAAAGCTGAACAGCATCAGCCACGCCCACTTAAAATTCTGACCATTAGCAGTCGTCACACATGCCACAAGAAAGAAAGTCCAGTGTCCACATCATGACTACGTGTTAGTTATGACACTCTGTTCAGTTTGTGTTCATTTGAACCATTAGGTCGTCAACGTCTGGACCAAACTGACCTCCTCCTGTGTTGACGTCGAGTCCAGCTTCAGTGACAGGTACATGACCACATGAGGGATGTGTCCGATCGACATCTGGAGTTCGGCTGTGTCCTCCCCCCACAGCAGCCGCACCAGCTGACTGACCGGAGGAGAGGATTTGGTCCTGCGGGCCGACGGAGCGTCACCAGCACTGCCGTTGTCCACGTGGGCCACCGTCTCCAAGGTCAGCCTCACCTGGAGGAGGACGCCACGAAAAGCATGGATTAGAAATAAAAGGCATCGTGAGGGTCAACAACACAAGGGCTCCGTTTGAAGTCCCTGGATCAGCCTGTGTGTCAGGTCTATCAGAATTAGGACCTTCAGCCTCGTTCACGTCTGTTTGAAGAATGACCGTGTTTATATCCTGCTTTGACTTTCACCGATTCAATGAAGGGGAGAGGAAAAAGAAAACTGCAGGATGGAGATCGTCAGAGAAAATGACACAGACATGTGGAGCTGACCGCAGTCTAAAGAGCTGTGTGTGTGTGTGTGTGTGTGTGTGTGTAAATGAAAACCAGACCACTGTGACAGAGGAAACAGTAGCAGGACAACAGACAGCCTATCTTCTCTTATCCATGCAATTCTGTTGTTGATTTCCAAACCACAGAACTCTATTTTACGATGACGTTCATTTAAGTCACAGTAAAAAACAGAAAACCAGAGCAGGACAAAGTCCAACAGGCACGGACACAAATTCTCTCCGATTTTATAGAATCTCTGAGGCTTCTCTAGATCTCAGAGGAGAATAAATCTTTGGTTCACACCACAGAGTTTTTTTCTCTCTATTTTCCTTCCAAAACACTTAGAACCTCACACTCTGCCTATCCAAATAGTGGCACGTGGGCCAAAGGCGGTCCAGACAAACCCCCACTTTGGTCCAGTCTGTGGTGACTTGAGAAACACAAAAAAGAATACAGTTGTGGAGATATTTTAACGGCCGAACAGACTATGAATGCAACACTCTCCAAAGCCAGGAATAGAAGTACTAATAAACTCTGATCTGATCTGAGTTTTATTCAGAGGGAGTGTCTTTTACAACTGAAATGAAATGTCTTTCAGTTTATTCAAGTTTTGGTCCAACTTTTGTAGTTAGCTCATGTTTATTAACCACAGATGATCTTAAACAGCCCCGCCCTGCAGTGTACCAGTTCACGTACTGAGGCAACCAGGAGACACGGTTCACAGATGTTGTCACCGACTGACTGGGCCACACCACCAGTCAGAACTAATCCCTGGGGTGACGAGTGTTGACCTTGACCAGGTGAAATGAATGTGGAGATGAAGTCTGAACAACTTCAACAACCTGTGTTGGTTTTTCCACAAATATATCATTTTTATCTAATAAAGAGCTTTAGTCTTAAAAGTAAATAAATAAATAAATAACTGAAACCTTTTCCTAAAGACTTTTCTTCATCAGTGTTCGCAGGAAAAAAAGCTGAGAGCCGAGAGCCAAGAGCTGGATGTTCTGCTGGGACTTGACCTCAAACCACCAGAGTCTCTGCAGATTCAGTTCTGAGCTTTGACCACACGGCCTGCACTGGACACGCCCCAGTGATATTTTGGTGTTTGAGGGGAACGCAGAATATGAAATATGACACTGACTGAACAATACGGAGCTGCTGACACGGTCTTGCTGATGCGACTTTTTTTTAACCCACAAACACTTTTTTCACATGTTAAAAAATCTCAGTTTTTGTTCATCTGTACTGACCAGGCAAAAGTAAAAATGAATGAATTTTGTCAAACCCAAACTGATTTAAAATCAGGAAACTGAAACTCTATATAATAATAAGTAGCCCTCAAACGGTGGCCCGTGGTCCAGATCTGGCTCGTGGTGCGTGGCTCACGGGCCAGATTTGGACCACTTATCAACACAAAACACAGGATTTGAGTTTCATTTTCCTTGTGGTCCATGGGAAAGAAGCTGTTTAGAAGTTCATATACTACATAGGTGGCCCTCAAATGGGGGCTTGCGGTCCAAATCTGACCGGCCACTGACCACAAGCTGCACACTTTCCTGTCCTTCACTGTGTTTCGGTTTTGTCTGCGCCTGTAAAGGATTATCTCCATGACGACGATGAGCGAATGGGCTGTTAGCAAGAACGGGTCTTTTAACATTAGCAGTACCTTCTACATAACAGACAGGCCTGAGTTCATGTACACGTGTTCTAGATTTTTTGAGTGTTTATTAAATGTTTGTCAAAAAGCAAACAGCAGGTTGCTTTATTTGAGTTTGTATTTCTGTTTTTGAGAACATGACAGATTTACAGCTTGTGTCTCGACCAACTGTAATAAATGGAAATGTCTTTGTGAACCTTTAACGTTTTTATTCAAATACACAAATGCACCTCCTGTCTGTTACCTCACTGCTATTTTAGTCACTGCTTCAATTACTTCAACAGGTTCAATGTCCTTCCAGGAGACATTTTGTTCAAAACTGTCTCTCTCAGTGTTTTGGACCACGCCGGTGTCAGCCCGGTGAAGTCTGCTGGTTGGCCCAAACCCAGACCATATGGTGCCTAACCAGTGAGTGTTTGAAAAAATAAAGATCATCTTTCCTGGTCAACATGTCCAAACTATATTTTTCTAATCCAGCAATGTCTCCCAGAGTTCTTTGAGGCTTGTCAGTGTGAACCACAGGGCCACCCGACTCTCTGCGGCAGGCGCCTACATCTGGGCTGCTGGCCATTTCAGCCTGGGTTATTATTACAGAGGAGCGGAGGTGCAGCAGCCTGTGACGTACCTTTCAACTGTGAGTCTCAGACTGGAGTCAGAGCACGGGCGCAGGTCGTAAAAAGATTCTAAAGCAATTCCAAGATTTTAGGACAGTGTGAACTCCTCTGAGACGCAGGAAAACAGGAAGCACATCTTCTAATAGTGATGTTTTTTATATTAGGGAATTAATGGAAGACATTGTTCTGCTCTCTAATAAAAAAGGATGTGGTGAGACCTGAGAGAAAACACCACCATGTCCACTTCTTTCATTCCGTATGTCCACAGAAAGGAGAGAAGGAACAGTTGAAATTGTTATAATAAAGTTATAGATTTAAATTAATAAAGTAGTAAACATACAAGAGTAATCGTACAGATTACGCAAACATTTTCACTCTATTCTCATAGGTTTATGACTTTATTCCCATAAACTCCACTCTGTGTTAAACCCTGCTCTCATGAATGGACACACGCCGCATGTGTGCAGTGACTGGAGTTGGTAACAAACTACAGTCAGACAAAGGCCTCGCTCCGCTCATGTTAATATTAATATTTGCTCCTGACCATAATAAGCCCTGTCCCAGAAGGACGCAGTCTCTCTGTCAGCATAACAACTCTATTCCAACAAAAGAATCCTCTGGTCTCATTTTTCCAAGAAATCTGTCCCGCTCTTTTTTTTTTCACCCTACGATGTAATTTGGTTTCCGTCTCCATCTTCTAATCTGCTGCAGTTTTCTATCCCACACCAGCTTCCTGTGGCATGGAACACAGTCACGCCACCATCCTGTCTGTGCGCTCGGCTCACCATCAACCCCGTGCACACTCTGTTATTTAAAAATTCCTACTTTCGGATGGTCTGCTTTTTGTTAAAAAATCTGAACTGAGTCACAGCTTTTCTTCTCCTAGCTGAAGTTCTCCTGCCGATCAAGGCGTCAGTTCTCAGTAACTGTGGGTTCCTCTGTGGAACACTAAGCAGTGGGTTTGTGGAAACATGTTTGGAAGCAACACTATGTCTTTATTGTGTTGGTTTTATGAGTCCACTAATGATTTCAAAGACCCAGAGGCAACCTCACAGCTAGAATCACTTCATAGGATATGAATGTGTAGCAGCTGAGGGAATAACAAACATCTGTCCTCCACTCACCTGTGTGGGTCCAGGGATGCAGGACAGAACCCTCTCAATGTTCTCTGAAGTTACGTCCACGTCGTCCACTGCGACCAGCGCGTCTCCTGAAGACACACACAATCAGGGATAAAAGATAAAACAGGGAAATCTAACTGAAAAATCCAAACAGCCCTGAGATCTGTTCCAGCAAAGACCAAAAGGCAACATTTATAAATCTATGTGTAAGGAGTTCTCCGCACCATGGCAACAGTTAAACAGCTAGAGAGAAATAGGCTAACAATCCAGCGTTTTCCTATGATAGCATGCTCAGTAACGTATGCCATTCTGGTAGGCATGCTTTACTGTCAGGACACCAGAACACAAACTGTGGTCCAAGTGTATATGCCTGATCCAGAGTCAGGGGGCAGTAGGGGCAGAAGAAGAAAAAGTAGTTCACTTTGTTACTTCAACACTACTACGATGTTACTATGGAGACTAACCAAAGACGTACGATGGCTAGTCTACAGCAGGGGTCAGCAACCTTTATGAAACTGAGAGCTAATTCAAGGGTACTTAGGAATATGAAGAGCTAATCTGTACCAGTACCAATCTGACCATCATTTCAAGTGTAACTGGTCCAAAAAGCACAGTAACAGTACAATGTTTGACTCTCTGGTTGACGAGTTTTATTTTTAGATGGTAGTCCATGGGGGCTACCAGGTGACCCCTGGACTACATAATGTATGGGGGAGATTGACTGTCTCCCCCTAGTGTTGTTAGAGAGGACATCAGTGTTTTTTGGTTCCTGTTGGTCATTTAGCTGTTAACATTTTGTTGCTAACAACTCTGTTGACGTTGTGCCAAGTTTCCTGATTATGGTAACTATGACACATGAAACATTTCTGGTTCTTTGAGCCTTTCTCTCACCTGGTGCAACTGTTGTTCTGATCCTAGCACGACTCTTACCCTAATCTTGAGAGAAGCATTTGTTCCTGTGTTTATCATGCAAGAACAAATAATCTGTCAAAACTGTGTTTCTGTAGATGATTGGATGAAGAGGGTGACTGCATATTATCCTGAGAACTGTTGTCTGGTTTGAGAACACAACGTCTGAACACAGGCTCTGTCCCAAAGTTATAAAAATCCCTGTCATAGTTTCTAGTCTTTTATGACCGCACAGATTTTAAAGAACTCTAAAATATGTGTGTAGGATGGGTACCGGCTACTTAGTCACGGCTGCCTCTCAGCAGCAGTGTGCATCTATGGTTAGTCGTTTGTGTGCAAATGCAGATTTTTTTTCTTCTGTCTTTTATCTGAGGGAACCATCGGTCAGTTCCTACCAGCACACGCTGGAATGTCAGTTGTTCTCGGCCACAGATGATTACTCACACGAGTTACTGTTCAGTGCAGCACGGCTCCATGCTTGAACAATCAGAGAAGCTAAATACCTCACATAGTTGTGTTACCCAGATGGCTGTGAGTCTCCAGTCAGCACATGAGCAGGTGATGCTACTCTCAGAACATTTCTGGTTTCTAACAGCAGCAGACCAATCAAAAAGCCTCTCTGTATGTTGGAGTAACAACGTTAACTACTAACCACTGACAAACCTTTCTTCTTCTGACTCTGACTCTGGGGCAAACAAATACAGTTGAACCCCAATTTACTGCTCAGTGTCCTGACAGTTTAACCTACCTGCCAGAATGGCTTACTCTCTGAGCACAAAAATTGTCAGAAACTGTCATTTTCCTAGCAGATTTACAGTTGAAATGTTACCACGGTTACACAAAGCCATGTTCACGTCCTTACTTCCTGTTAAACAGCTGTTTAAATAATTCAACTGTGATCAATTCTTCAGTTTTTTTCCACTAGTTACTAATGTTTCATTCACACATCAAATAACCAGATTGGTTTCATAGGACTATCAGAATATAACAGGCACAGAAGTGTCTTGCTTCTGTGTTCATGTTGCACAACATTAGTCATGATATTTTTTTAGAATGGCACTTCACGACACCTGCGCTGTATTTTATAAAGACTAGTTCTCACCTATCAGTATCTGGCCACATTTGATGGCAGGGCTGTTGGGTATTAATCCATGAACAGTCAGTCTCTCCTCTTGCCTGAGAACAGTGGACGCTCCTTGTCCTCTGGTCCATGAGGGACGATGAATGACCCCGAGCAAAGCTTCCAGAAGACCTCCGCTGTCAGAAAGGGGCGCTGATGAAGAACCTCCCAGACGTTTGGGGTTGAGGTAAACACACACTTCCTTCAGCTGCTGCTGCTGCTGAACACTGACACCCTGTCTTTGGCTGGGCTGGTTCTTCAGGATGGAGGCCGGCGGGGTCAGAGCAGTACTGTCTTTGCTGCCATCCTTTCCACCGCCACCTTTACGCTGAGAAGGTCTGCGTTTTCTCCTCAGTATCCTGGCAAGCTTCTTCAGAGCTGTCTCACCTTTGACGCGTGAACAGCAGCGCTGCTTCTTGTTTTGCTCGATGATGATTTCTGCTTCTTTTTCGCTGAAGCGGACATGATTGGTGGAAACTCCGTGACAGGCGTTGGCCTGGATCAGCGCAGCGTCCTCCTCCCCTTCACTCAGCTCCAGGTAGAAAAGCTCACCATTCTTCTGGATTTCATCCAGCCACTCTGGTTCCAAGTCACTGAGGAAAAAATAAAAAAAATGCCAATATGAAACGGGGGAGAGTGAGGTAGAAGATAATTTGCTCCTAAACACGCTGACTAATATTCTGCCTGATGTCTGATACAGTCAAATGTCAGAGGAAGTCAATCAGTTAAATCATTCCTGACATAAATATGCTTTGTCTTCACATGTACTTTTTTAAACCCATAATTGTGTTTTAAAAATAGGTGACCATGATTATCTTATCACTTCTTTTTTGGTCTCTGTTCCACTGAATCTTCCTTTGAAGAACACAGCCAGCAGCAGACTGCCTTGAGAGGCTAGCCATACATTTCCTGACTACGGTGAGAGGCCTACAATTATTTATGAGGGTTTTTGGACCTCCCATACTGAAGATGAAAGCAGAGAGCTTAAAAAAATATTTAAAAAAAAAACGAATTAAACTGTAATACGTCAACAGTTGCCACCGAACCCTGGAGTCAAATTCTTACAGAACACACCAGGTTGGGGAGAAATTACATTACACATCCAATGTGTAAATGTAGACTGAAGAGTAGAAAGAAGCCACATTGTGTAAGTTATAACAAAACGTAAAAACATTAATTTCACAAGTTTAAACAAACAAACAAAAAACTGTTACTCCGAGTATTCCGAGCCGCTGAAGCTCGTAGATACTGATTCACAACCACTTCCGCCATCGTCCTCTTCCGGTTGTCCGCCACGCGCACTGACACTGGCTCCTACATTGACGTGTTCCAAATTCATTTTTCTGGAGAACACACACTTTAAGCGTGTTTGCTGTTTACACTTTCAGCAAAGCGTATTCTGTCGTTCCAGCGCCATGTTGGTTTGTGCCGCCGCGTCACGTGTGACAGAAGCGACGAATCTGATTGGTAGACGACGTGTTGCCATTGACAACGGGGAAGCTTGAGAGCATGAGCCACATAAATGTCCACATGTTGTTTATATTATATTATACATCATATAAAAAGTTATAAATCCTATATTAGACCGCGTGTACATGTCCCTCCTATTGGTGTTGATTTAAGGGTTTTTTTCCCACAGACTCCGCCTCCTCTCCAGGTTTTACACGGGATCTTCAAATCCATTCTGGAATTCAGTGAACGCGTGCTAAAGTTTCCAGTACTCAAACATAAACTAATGGCGGTAAATTGTTTTTTTTTTTATTATTATTCATTCAGTTTGAAGTCAAAATGCACCGATGACAATATGAGCACCTACCTGTAGAGGAGAACGCTGCGGATGGAGTCAAAGTCCTCCAGGTTCTTTGAGAATGAAGCTCCATCTGCAGGGCCGTTGAACATCATCTGATTCTCATGTCTTTATTTCCCTCTGAATCATCTCAAGCTGTCAGCGCGGAGAACGCTCGGAGGAGACGGATTAGAGTCCACACACAGAGAGGAGATGAAGAAGAAGCCGAGGTGACAGTTCTGCTTCTCTTGATGCAGCAAACCTCCTTCTCCTCCTCCGTCTCCTCCCCTTTTCTCCGCCTCTTTCTCACGTCAATCAGAAGTGAATGCCAGATGAAGCCACAAAAAGATTTTTCTTTCCTCGTTTTTTTCTCTCTCTCCGTTTTGTGAGTGTTTCTCCAGGCCAGCAGTGAGGTATTTGTCCCGACGGTTTCTTTTTTGCCACTGAATTAAAACCCAGCAGCAGAAGTCCACAAAAATGACAGATTGTGTTGTTCTGATTATTCAACAACGTAATTCTATTATATTACCAAATATAAGCAGCTCATATATTGAGCTCAGGATTGGGTAAAAAGAAAAATCTGTGAATTCGTGTTAATCATTTAATAAAAACAACAATTAAATAAAATGATTATGTAAAGGTAGTTAAACTCAATGTAGCCTCCATTTAAATCAAAGTGGAACATCCAACCCACAACTTTTACAGTTTTTGTCTTTAAACATGGAAAAACTAAGCTACACTAGCCACGAGGTAACTCTTTTTATCAGCAGCATTTGTAGCTAAATGGCTAGTTACTATCTTAACAAAAACGTGGCAAAATATTTTAACACTGGACTAAAGAAATGAACACGTGGGGGACGGTGAGTCTGGGGAACACTTATGTAATAAAGTTTAATAAAATAGTGGAGAAGAGTTGATATTATACGGAAACGTAACGTCAGCAGAGGTACGTTAGGACGTACCCTAGATTTACCGGATCCTTACGTTAGACATTTAGGACCTTTTCACAGCTCCTCCTGTCTCAATGTAGTTGGTATCTGAACCAATTAGATAGATTATTCATATTAGCGTCCCCCGCGCACGACCACGACAACTATTACATAGGAAAAAAAATTAACAAATTAGTCACGCACGACCACGACAACTATTACATAGGGAAAAAAATTAACAATTTATTAGTTGTTGTATCCAGAATAACTTCTACTCCCACACATACCGACTTCCTTATGTATTCCGGAGGTCACGTGACTATATGTTGTTAACTTTAACATGCACACTTTTGTGGCACGAGTACTAAGCTATTTTCCGTGATCGTTTAGTTTCATATTTAACAAGTTTGCGCCGCCACTCTGATCACACTTCTCCCCTCAAAGCCTCCGAGGAGACCCCGAACGTTCATCAATGTGAGAAGACCTTGGCTATAAGCCATATCTTCTTACCAGGTTTACGCTCAGAGAGAAGTATCCCAGCTCGTCATCGTGAATAGCGAGACTATCACTTTAGAAACACATTCCACTAGTAAAGTACTATAGAAATGATCCCTGAAAGTATAGTCTTATTTAGCAAGGGTTACATTGGTCCGTATAATGTAACAACACTGTACTTTACTGTCATGGTTTCAACGCCGATGTGACGTCACTCAACTTATTTTCATGTCATAATGAAGCACAACTAACCACAAACTTTCACTGAATCAGAGGTTCTTTTATATTCAATAACATTGTATTTTAAAACTAGGTTGTATGAAAAAACTGCAAATGTTATGATTTATATAAGCAAACTAGATTAACACCACGTTGTGTAGCGTTTACAACGTGGTGTTAATCTAGTTTGCTCCCAGTGGCCGCACGTTGCAGCAGCTCCGTCCACTTTGATATTTGTATCTCGCTTTGTAAATGCTGTCTGTCTACTCTGCTGTTACGTTTACTATTACATGTCTGTAACCACTGAATGTCCCGGTGTAGGATGAATAAGGTCTTATCGTATTAGCCGTTTAATATAATATACACAAATAATTATAAGATATTTTGCCAGAGACGATCAAGAAGTACCGTAAATAATAACACTAATTATTAAATTATGATAGAAATAACAAAAGGAACTCTTCGTTTTAAGACTTATTCTGTATAAATGTTACTATTTTAACGTGGCACTAATGAGCTCTGTTAAGCAAACACGTGTGCAACGACAGTCTTACGTTATACTACCTGTTAAATTAAAGTATAACTCTCTTATATTGATAAAAGCAGTAAAGTTTGATGTGTTATTAACACTATTCTGCTGTCACTCTGATCATACTCCTCCCCTCGCTGCCCCCGAAGAGACAGTGAACGGTCATCAATAGTACGGAGCACATGACCGAAGTCATAACTTTGTACTCGTTTCGCGCTCAGAGAGAAGTATCGCAGCTCTTCATCGTGATCAGCGAGACTAAACATTTTTGAGACACATTTCTCCAGTTAGGTACTATAGAAATGATCCCTGAAAGTATAGTCTTAACCTCACCTCGGCCACACTGGTTGTATTCATATGACAGCAATACCCTTTACTATCATGGTTGTTGAGCACATAGTCTGGCTCAGGTTAAAAATAGAGTCTGAGTCTTTGAATGTTTCTGCATGTTCTTAAAGACTATTTAAGTCACTCATGTTAAATGTCATCCAACCATTCAGCAAACAATCATTTCAACCCTTATCCAGTTCATTAACTAGTTAGTTACTGTTTAACTAACCAACCAGACACTCGGTCGTTCACTGACTCACTCCATTAGTAAAATGACTAGTGGGTTAGACATTCAACTCAATAACCAATGACAATTGTACAACTATACAATTGTTTTAATTAAATTGTACTTAAAATGGTCAGTTGACTAAACAGCCTACTGCCCATGTAATCAACCGACCATTTAGTTATCGAACATTGAACATTTGAGAGCCTCTTGGTTTTCATTCATCAGCCAGAGACCAACTGCCAAACAACGTGTCAATCGACCAACAACAAAAAAACGGTAGTCAACCAACGAAGTCAGTCGAAGACCAATCAGTCAGTCTATGGACTAGATGTCCAGCTATCCAAGTGGACTTTTATAATAAATGTTACTATTTTTATGTGGCGCTACCGTAGTCTGCCATCAAATCGTCTCATTATACTGTCTGTTAAACAAAAGTGAAAGGCTCCTACATTGTTATATGCATTTAGTATGATATGTTTTTATTAACACTATTCTGCTGTCACTCTGATCATACTCCTCCCCTCGCTGCCCCCGAAGAGACAGTGAACGGTCATCAATAGTACGGAGCACATGACCGAAGTCATAACTTTGTACTCGTTTCGCGCTCAGAGAGAAGTATCGCAGCTCTTCATCGTGATCAGCGAGACTAAACATTTTTGAGACACATTTCTCCAGTTAGGTACTATAGAAATGATCCCTGAAAGTATAGTCTTAACCTCACTTCGGCCACACTGGTTGTATTCATATGACAGCAATACCCTTTACTATCATGGTTGTTGAGCACATAGTCTGCTGTATAATATATATGTTAAGAAAATACAATATACATAAAAATAATACGAAAACATAAATTAATTACATTTTGATTTTAAGTTAAAGTAAAAATAAAATATTCCAACGGCTTTACCCACAATGCTTTGTCGCCAACAAAGCCCCGCCCTTCTCCTGTTTCATTGGCTGTCGGAGAACCGATCAACGCTAATAACCTGAAGTTACAATACCGTTTATAAAACAAGAAAAAAAGAATCCTTGTTCACATACACGTGTTAGTATTATTTGGCTCCTTTGGAAATACTTAGAACTTAAAGCTAACCCATGGCCTTTTTTTCACTGTGTGAAAACGAATCTATACAATACTTCCCAAACGATCTTTTGAGGCACACATGCCTAATTTTATAACATGTCGCAAAATTTGAAGAAGAAAAGAAAGATAAAAACCACCTCTATGTACTAACGATAGGACTATGAAACCAAGAAAATAAATTTATCGTATTTTGACCCGACTTCCTTGTTTACCTTGACGTCATTCCTATGCGCCGCGCACGTTTTTGAAACCGGAATTGATTATTGGCTCAGGGGTGTACATATGCCTTCTTGTTTTGCTGTTGTCTTGGATTTGTAAGAGATTTCCCTGACAATTAAAGTAATTCAAGTTAATGATTCAACTCTGACAACAGCAACAGCGGGATGGACCACATCTCCTCACATCTAGCATGTGATCTGCCGCTGAATGGAGTTTCTGAGGACATGGATCTGCTTCACATTGATGTGGAGGCAGAGGTGGTAGATACAAAACCGGGGAGAGACGAGGCTTTGTGTTCAGTAAGCTGGTTTGGCTAATCTTTAATTTAATGGGGAAATACTAACTATGTAACACGTTAATAATTAGCAACCGAGCGGTCAGGGTTTGTAACATTGAACAAAAATATAATTTCTAAAAGTTTTACTCAAAGTCAAGTTTTGATTGTGTGTATTTGTCATCTTTGTTTCCCGACTGACAGAAGAACGTGTTGAGGAAGCAGAGGCACTGGGAGAAACAGATTGCGGCGAAGAAGAGCAGGAGGAAGGAGGAGAAGCAGAGGAGGAAACAGAACCGTGAGGAGGAGTCTGGTAAAGAACCAGGAGAACTAATGAAAGACTAGATAGGAGGACTGAAAGATGAGTGTTCCTTTTTCATCTCCTCATCGTCTGGTTCTCTGCACTCTTTGTTTTCTGCACAGCGTCCACTGCAGAGATTCCTCACTTTACTAAACGGGTGATGAAGGCCATCACTAGAGAACGTTTAATCGGAGCTCAAGCCACCGGTCTGAAACTCTGTGTGGATCTGAGCATGACTGACAGCATGTCTGACAAGGTAACAGATAACAAGAAGAAGCATTCTGTCAAAAGTACTGGTTCCTTAACTTCTTCTGCAACGCCCCCTTTTGTAGATAGGATTGTTGTCAACACTACTACATTTTATCACCACTGTGAGACCTACGGTAATCCTGTTCTCAGGATCTGTGGTGGTTGCACCGTGCTTTGGGAGCCACTGGTCTGAGATCTTGTTCTCTGTGCTGCGACGAACAGAGAGATAAATTGACTGATGATGTCAAACCAACCACTTGGTGTTTGTTTGCGTTTTTTTGGTTTTGTTGTAAACCAGGAAATCAGCCGATTGGCCGGTCAGTTGAGGAGGCTGTATGGGTCAAACAGGAAGGCATCCCGACCATTTCATTTGTTCCTGACAGACCTGAAGGAGGGCAGTCGTCTCTACAAAGAGTGTTTGCGAATGAACGACGGCTTCCTCAATTACATGGTGAGTGTTGGGCTACGGCACCAGAGTAACATTTGTCCTAGGACAGTAAATCCTTCACAGACAAAGGCTCTCTCTGGTTGTATCATTCATCTTACCTGGCACAGCCAATCAGATGGAGTGGAGGGCAGGTTGTGTCTCTGACACAAAGCTTCATAATAAATAGATAGATCAAAATAACTTGACATCAAGTAAAACATGTATGTGAAGAACAAGATTTATGGAGTGGGTGTCAAGGAATTCCAGAGCTTTATCAATTGTTCCGGCCTGTAATGGTTTTCTGTCCCAAGAATCTTCAGCCTCTAATCAATGTGGTCACCCTTTATCTCCTTTGTCTTTGCCTTTCACAGATGGACGTCACGGACGGAAGTTTTCTGAGCCTGTTTTCTACAGAAACCATCGTCTACCTGACTCCAGATGCAGAGTCAGGTTCTGACAGTTTTCTTCAAATGTTTTGTTAATATTTACAACGACAACAACTGGTATTATTGGGTACATTATTATAAGGTTTCAAGTAAGATGACCAGCAGAGGGAGCCATGTAACCACTCGTCCAAAAACAGACATTGACACTGACAAGTAATATGACCAAAAAAAGTAAAAGAAAACTATAAAAAAAAGTATGAAGAAAAATATACAAATATAAGGTACAGTAATTAAAAGACAACAAATTAAGACACAAGTATTTATTACCATTATTTTAACCTGTTTGATTTGCTGCAAGAGTTTTTATGCAGGGTAAACTTGTTTTTTGTTAATTGAAAATATTAAATTCTTTTGTAATTTCAGCTTTGGAAACAGTGGAGGCAGATAGAGTTTATGTCCTTGGTGGCCTGGTGGATGAAAGTATCCAGAAGGTTGGTGTGGAGTAATATCACACTCTGAGTTGATGATCATGTTGCTACAGCTTTAAAGGGTTTTAAAGTTGCAGCTACTTCTGTTAATTTTGTCACCAACTGTTGTCATTATTTCCAGTAAAACCGTGTATAGTTCATCCATGTAGTTTAAGGCTGTTCCACCAGGGGTCATTGTTACGGTTGTTTACAGAAGCTGAGCTTATCACGAGCCAGAGAACTGAGCGTCTGCACGGCCCGACTTCCCATAGACGAGTACATGGTGAAGAAAAACAACCCCAAAAACTTTTACTCCAAAATACTGGCTATTAATCAAGGTGGGTTGTGATTCGTTTTTTATCTGAACTTTTAAACCTTCTGTTGCTGATGAAGTCTCTCTCTCTCTCTCTCTCTCTCTCTCTCTCTCGTCTACAGTGTTTGACATCTTGTTAAAGTTCTGCAACACCGGCAGCTGGACTGAAGCCCTGCAGATGTGGTTCCCTCAGGGGAAGGGTTATGTTGTTGCACAGGAAGCCTCCTGACAGAAGCCCATATGAACGAACTTTTGACTGTGTTTATTTTTCAGGAGCTGCAGCCAAATGCAGATGTGTCAACATGACAGTACATGCTACTAAAAACAATATCAATAAAATATGCTAACGTAATGCTACCTGAGGACAGTTAAAAATAGGAGTAAAACGTATTTCCAACAAAGGCAAACAAGTAAAAAAAAGCCAAAAGTTAATACTTCAAAGATAAGAGGCAAAAATGTTGTCAATCATTTATGGGGAGACATAAGGATAGTCTAGGATAAGTCACAAATACAACACGTATCAAACACAGAGGGTTACTCTAAGTATGGTTGAAAAAGCAGCTAATAGCTAGATAGACATTTAGCCAAAAGTAAAACACAGCTAACAGCTGATTGGTTTACAAAAGTAAACCAATCAGCATCTAGATCGTAAAACAAAATGCTAAAAAAACAATAATTGACCTGTTAGGAAACGTCTGTAGAAAATATTTGGTAAAAAAAAGCTAAACAGACTGACGTAATGTTATGTACGGTGCTATTAAAGTGAAACAGCGCAACTCAGTGGTGCAGGTGGGTAAGTGCCCTCAGATTGAAGGTTGCCTCCTGGCGGTCCCTCTTCTCTGTTTGTGGAACTGTTTATCCATAAGGAAGTGGACCAGCTTCTTCACCCAGGTGGACTGAGGGTTCAGACAGACCTTCTTCCCGTTCACCAGACCGGCTCTGGTTAAAAATAAAGTCTGTGAGTCTTTGAATGTTTCTGCATGTTCTTAAAGACAAGACTATTTAAATCACTTATGTTGAATGTCATCCATCCATTCAACAAACAATCATTTCAACCCTCATCCAGTTCATTAACTAACAAGTGGTTAGTTACTGTTTAACTAACCAACCAGACACTCGGTCGTTCACTGACTCACTCCATTAGTAAAATGACTAGTGGGTTAGACATTCAACTCAATAACCAATGACAATTGTACAACTATACAATTGTTTTAATTAAATTGTACTTAAAATGGTCAGTTGACTAAACAGCCTACTGCCCATGTAATCAACCGACCATTTAGTTATCGAACATTGAACATTTGAGAGCCTCTTGGTTTTCATTCATCAGCCAGAGACCAACTGCCAAACAACGTGTCAATCGACCAACAACAAAAAAACGGTAGTCAACCAACGAAGTCAGTCGAAGACCAATCAGTCAGTCTGATGAACATCTGTCAGTCAAAAGATCAGTCAGTCAGTCTATGGACTAGTTATTCAGCCAACCAAATGGTTATATGTGTGAGGAGGGGCGACTCACATGACCTCGATGTCTGGACAGTGTGGACCTTCAGGAACCAGCTCGATGCTCCTCAGAGTGTCTGGAGGAATGATTCTGGACTCCACCTGGAGGCAGCGACAGTGTGTGTTAAAGTCCCTGCTGATCGGTACTATTCCTGTTGCCAAGAGAAAGTCAGTCACAACACAAACCATTACTGGGTTGTTTTTAGTGCATGAAACATTACGCTGACGACACCACTCTTTGTCACTCGTGATAATTTGTCATCCTCTGTTCACTACAATTTACAATAAAAAGCCACCAATATCTGGTGAAGAGAGTATTTCTTTCAGGACAGAGGACAGAGTCAAGGTTTAAACACAGCATGTTTTTGAAATGTTAGCATCAGGTTAGTGACAAAAAATAAAAAGCTGAAAGTTAGCTCAGAGTTAGCCTTGAAATTGACAATTGGAAACAAGCTATTGGTCAATCTTAGTCATGCTAAAATTAGCCGTCGTCAAAGTGAAATGTAATGTCTATAAAGATGGTTATTTCTATTATAGTAGTTTAAATGTTTTGTTTCATAACATTTTAATACTTTTTAGTTTTGGCATTATTCCCCTTGCAAAGAAGCTAGCTAAATATTAGCCCTAAATAATCAAGAGTTTGAAAAATTGTCTAAAACTTAACATTTTTTAGCATAGTTCTTACCATTGGTGAAGAATAAGAGATTCAGACAAATGAGGGTGACGAAGGTCTTCATCTTGTTTCAGTGTTGCAGTTTCAGTTCTTCATGATCGAGGAATGATCTCCAACATTAATATATAAGCAGTGATCACATGGTCCATATTCATTATTGTGGGGAACTTGAAACCTGGTGTGTTCACATGTGCAGCAGAAGGTAGTCATGGGATGGTGGGATCAGGAACAGACCACAAAGACGACTTTGACGGGGAGGTTTATCTGTAAGTTTGATCAAAACAGGGTTTCCCACAAAGCTGTCAAAGAGGAAGTGGAACAAGAACGAGTTGTGAAAACACAAAACTACATGTGACGACCTACTGTAGTAGGTACTGTATTATAGGTGTAGGTAACTACAGCAGTTTGGAACAGGCTTATAATACAAGCTAACCTGCTGCTGCTTCTCAGTGGCAAATGTTAGAAAATAAAATAGCTGGTCAATATTTGTTGCCAAGTCACATTTCTTTTTTCCAGATTTTTTGCTGTATATGTTAAAAGAATAAAGTAGTGCATGTTATGATGAGCTGGTGATAAACCAAATCACACAGCCATTCATTTCTCTTATCAGAAAATAACAATTCTAAAACCATAAAATAATTAAATGATATTAAAAACATTAACATTCATCTGTTTACAGTTTACTAGAACATTTATTAGGTGGTGAATTATGATTTAACGTTGAATTAGAGGGTTGACTTAGAATTTGCCTAATTATTAGAAAAAGGCAATTTCCTGAGAGACAAACAGCCGACGCCAAAAATAAATGACTGTGTGAGTTATTGTAAGTGCTTAAGGCATCGTTTGTTCAAAAGTAAAATTATTATTGGATTAGTGAATTGATAGATTAACACCTGTCCTCCACTCAGATGTTTGGTTTCAGAGAGACGTTGGTGTGGTCGAGGAGACAAAAGTGCGGTAGATAGACAAAGACGAGGACGGACAGAAACCAAATGGTGGTCAACAGTCATCCACACAGTGATCACTGGTTTCTACCTCAACAAATACTAACCCAGTCCTTGTGACTGTTAACACGTGTCATTGTTTATAAATAATTACAGTTAGAACCCACATGACACGGAGGAACAATATGAGGGATCATTACTGTAGGCTGCAGGAATGTACTGAAAATCTACTACAGTATTTGTTCCCAGCCATTGATTCAACTACCAAATGAACCCAAATACTGACTTGAGCAGTATATTCACGTAGTGACCGCCCACCTCATGAATGAAAACAAATATTGACCTGTAATGTAATGACTCATAACTGACCAGAGTTAAAAATCTGTTGAAAACTCAAACCAAAACAGAAACTGAACAGAGCTTCTCCATAAATGACACCTTGTGATTTAAACTGTCACACGGTAAAAGCCCCTGGTCATTTGACTTGTCCCTGCTGTGTGAATGCCTGGAAATGTCTCCTGGACACTGCAGTGACAGGTAGGGGCCACCAGGAGTCCTGCTTATCACAGAACTGCTCAGAATTTGAACCTTTCTTGGTTCACCCCTCATTCTGATATGTCCATACTGAGTGCAGAACAGTTCTGACTCTGGTGGGAACCATAGGTTTGTCCTCACTCTATTTAGGTACACATTTTAGGTAAGGGGCAACTTCTGTCCAAAAAAATACTCAAGTTAAAAAGTGGAGTGAAGAAGAACTTTTCCTGGGACAGCAAAGGCAGCACTGTCACTACCTGGAGACTTCTGCTGCTGACTGCAGATAAAAGATGGAACTCAAACTCAATTTCTTTGTGGTTCATCTTAGAAACCATATAGAAATGCAGTCCATAGTGCAATGCCACAATTGCCCAGTAGGGGATGCCTTGAAAAACTTCACCAGTAAGAAACCAACAAAAGAGAAATGCCAACTTTTCTTTAATTAAAACCACTGTAAACAGTATCAGAAAACATTTGTTTCTATTTCATACTGCTGATGGTTGTTTTATATTTCATGTGAATTGTTATTTAATGCTGGTTCTTGAGAAACTACAATGTGATTTAAAAATATGAAACTCAGAAACTGCCTTTGGTGGACTTGACTGTAATAAATGAAAAAAAATATGTAGAGAGAGATTAAACATCTCATTCTAACAAACTTGATATTTAATGACTTTAATGACTGATATGGTTCTTCATGACATGCGTTTAACATTTCAGGAATGCTGTGGAAATCTCTCCGATTACTGCTGGTACTACGTAGTAGAGTAAGAACTGGCATCATGACAGTTTACAGTTCTTCCACTCTGTACGGACATAGATCATTGGAGTGTGTCAAATAAATCACACGGTTGGTTACGTTTTACTGAGTGGAAGAAGGCGCGGCTTCTTGAGAATTAAGCTGAGAGTTTTAATGTGGAACTCACCTACTGGGCCTGTTTGGTACTGTATATTTAACTAAACTATTTGACTAAAGACTCAAATCATTACACAGATCTACAGCTTCTGTCTTTTTTGTTGGGGCTCAAATGAATTTGGAAACTTAAAAACAACTGCTCTGACTGTTTTTATAATTAACCACAAATCCTGTTGCTGATATGGATAATTCTTTATCAGGTCTAAATATGTCAAATGACATCTGTTATAACGCTGATTAAACCACCTGTTGTATTGTTGCATTACCAGGATACAAATATATTTTAGTAAGTATAAGTATGCTGTATATGTACTTAACTACAGTTAGATGAAACTACGTCTACTCCCTCCTCTGTTGCTAAAGTATAACTGTGTAAAATGCTGAAGGAGGTTTTTGACGCCCTCAGGCCTGGATGGTGATGGACGCTTGGCCAGAGACCTGCCTGAGAGCAGGACAGTCCAGGGTCACCATCACCCGAGTGGTCCCGCTCCTTTGTGGGGTGAAAAACTCGGTCCAGGTCAGAGACGAGCCTCCTGTGATCATACTGAAACCAAAATGGACCGGGTCGTTCAGTATTATGTACATCAAGAAGTCTTTCAGTCACATTGAAGTCCGTACTCTGTGCTGAGCCAACCTGTAATATTTGGACTTGGGCAACATAACCCCAGGTCCTTCCATGCGAATGTAGACGCCATCCAAGCTGAAGGAGAAAGGGTTGGTGAACTGGACCGTTGCCATCATCTCTTCATTGACTTTTCCTGGACCAGAGACCTGAAGAACACACATGACACGAACTGTAGAAAAGTGAAAGCCAGGTGATAGGTTCTCTGCCGGAGCTTCAGCGTTTTGAAAACAAATCTGAGCTGTTTGAACACTCTGAGTGTTCAGGTCAAATCAACAAGGAAAACAAAAAGTAGAGAAGGTTGTGAGTGAAGACAGCCAAATGTCGCACTCCAGAGACGCACTGATGGACTGTGTTTTTGAACAGCCCAAAATATCCGAACCAGTACAAATTGACTGCTATGTCCAAGAACCTGGTGAACAATTTGTTTGAAGGAGGAGAGTCAGCAAATGAAATAAGATGTCTCTACTGATGTTAGAACCAAGGGTTCCAGATGACTTAACCTGGTGAGGTTGGCCATGAGAAACCTGCGGGCGAACGCGTAACACAACAATCTGTAGACATTGTTCGCCTCTACACTCACTTTGGAAAAGGTCCAAGGTGAAGAATAAGGACCATAGGTCATAGAGTTAGGGTTGGAGGTCTTGGTGTTACGGTGGCTCAGTACAGTTGATGTGAATTGACACCTATAGATAATTGACCAAGCAGGTGTTATCTCAGACCTCAACCATGATTTTGGGGTTTCGCAAGGTGACGACTTTCATGGCCGTGACGATCTGCCCAGTCTCATTGACCTTCCCTGTGACGATGAAGTTCAGGTTGGCCTGTTCCACCAAATCCCTCATGTAGCTCTTAGACTCGACCTCCACCAACTCCTTCTTAGCTGCAGAAACAAAAACACAGATCTGTTCTCACACTCTCTCTCCAGGTCTGAGCTCATTTCGTAACACACTTTTGACGGCACACTCACACATGTTGGGCTTGATCTCCACCGTGGGTGTGTCGAACAGGAACTCAGAGCTGGTGACTCCAGTGTAGTACACCACACTACCGATGACGTAGGCGTCGACGGTACGCTGCTGGTTGCTGCGGTTTATGAACTCCACCTCGAACTCAAAGTCGTCGCCCAGACTTATCTCCATGGTGGGCAGGACCAGGTCCACGTCAGCCACAGGAGGCTCGGACTTCTCTCGCTCACAGCCGTACTCCTCTGCCTTCTCCAGAACAGTTCGCTCCTCTGTACTTCCTGGGTGGAGGAAATAAAATGTGTTTGTTAAATTTCTATCGTCTACACCCAGCGTGACTCTTCTGTCATCGCTGTTTGATTTGGGCTTTTTTTTAAATTTTATTATTATTTATTATTTGTGTTTGTTTAGAGGTTTTAGTGAATGTTATTACAAGGTGCAGTATTTGTAAACTTCATAAGGAGGAAACAAGCATCCACCCACCTTCAGGGAATTTGTACTGGTCAGTGATGTCACGGCGGGTCATCTTTAATGGCGTTTTGGTCAAAACCATGCGACCCACGTGACTGTGGTTTACTCTCACAGGATCCATGGTCCCGTCTTTCCTCCGGGAATAAAAGACCACGTCACTGTTCACCTGGAGGATAGGTTAGGAACGTTAAGACTCTCTGAACTATGGCTGAAAACGTAGCTTTAAAAGTACTCAGATTACACCAAGGTCCAGTGGTTTAAGTGTGAACCATTGGAGGAACATATCCACACACACACACATATACACACACAATTTATAAACATTTTATTCATTCATTGGTTTTGACGTCACTTCTGATCTGTGCAGCGACTTAAGAAAACAGACAGAAACAATTCTGCGGACTTTCCTAACACACATTTTGTGGTTCAACACATTTGCGTGAACATATTGTTCTAGCATCAACGGCAGACTCACCTCAGCAAACACAAAGGCAGCATCAAAGGGGTAGCAGATCTGCCCATGTTTGATGGCCTGGACTGAGGCTGGACCACATCTGTACATACCTTCAACCAGGAATGTGACAGTGATCAATACAAGTCTCATAAGACCATTGACTAGAGCAGGTCAGCAGGTCATTCATTCTACCGTCACTGGTCTCCTGGGGTGTGGCGTCCACCACTTGCCAGCCCCCAAAGCCTGCTGGGAGGTCTGGTCTGGACATGTAGCACTCGTTCCAGCAGTGATAGTTCCTGAAAACAAGGAGGTTAGAAGAAGAATGAGAGTGAGGTCCAACTCTGACCAACAAAGACTGACGTGTCGTTGATTTGGGTGAAAGATCTGATTTTCACAGTTGAGTCCAGTCACAGTTGAGTTTTTGACATTTTTGGATTTTGGCTTTAAAAAACACTGCCCATAGGATGGAGTGTTTTCTCCCAAAGAGATGCTGACCACACACGTCATTTTATTTTACTCTGGGTGGGCCAAAAAAGTGCCTTATGAGGAGAATTTGGGCCAAATCCTGGACCCTTGTCGAACAGGCACAGGAACTAATATCTGGGTATGTACCAGATGGAGTCCCTGGTGCGATTGCGGTCAATCTTGCCATTCTCATCCAGGATGATGTCAGTCTTCAGGTTTCCATCGTTATCATGAGCGGAGAAGTAATTAGTGACAACACGGGCCGGGATACCCAGACAGCGCAAGGAGAATTTGGGCCAAATCCTGGACCCTTGTCGAACAGGCACAGGAACTAATATCTGGGTATGTACCAGATGGAGTCCCTGGTGCGATTGCGGTCAATCTTGCCATTCTCATCCAGGATGATGTCAGTCTTCAGGTTTCCATCGTTATCATGAGCGGAGAAGTAATTAGTGACAACACGGGCCGGGATACCCAGACAGCGCAAGACTGTGACGAGGTAAAAAAAAAAAATTGGTAAACATTTGGTGAATCAGACTTTTTTTTTAATCTCTGTTTCAGATGGACTTCAAGTGTCAGCAGTCTCACAGGTGTTGAAGACTGCAGCGTAGACCCAGCACTGAGCATAGCAGACCGGCATCTTGCTGCTGGCGTAGCCCAGCAGGATGTCGGTGCTGCCTGTCCAGGATGTGGGCGCCACTCCGAAGGTGTAGTCGCCACTCCAGTTACCAACCAACACACCGTCGTCGTCACGAGAGTTGAGCTGAGGATGACAGAACGCAACAGATTACTGAGAGTTATTTAATTATATATTAACCTTCCTTAGAACCATGCCCTCACCGGTCACTTCATGACCAGTACATGATTGGTTTCATATGGTTGGGTCAATGCCCTGATTGGCTGACTACCCATAATTCAACAGAATCATATAGAGACTTGGACTACACTGACTGAAGAGCACCGCACACTTTGTTGTGTTGCATGAACATTTCCGTACCATAGCAGAGGCCTTCCTGGTCACCTTGATGGGATCTCCTCTGTTAACGATGGGCATGTTAGCTCTGTCCATGATATACAGACAGGCATCCAGGACTCCATAGTTGAACTAGAAACAAACATCATGTCTGATAAGAAAACACCTCAGCCGTATACCTTTCAACAGTACCAGTAAAATGTGTTAGTTCCTACCTGTCCGTAGTTCCAGTTTCTCTCTGACACGTCATCATAAGAACCGTGGTAGATGATTCCCATCTCCGTCATCACACACTCCTCTCTCTCCGTCTCATCGTTCAGAAACACAGCGTCATCTGTCAGAAGTAGAAACAATGCACTTCTGTTTGTTGACACCAGGAGGTGCTAGAACCTCATCAAAGAGCCCGAACTGACCTGGTGACCAGGGGTTAAAGAGGATGTACAGGTCACGGCTCTTGTCACGTCTGGTCCTGCGAATGCCAAAAGGTGTAGCCACGGCCACAAACATGTGGTACTTTCCCACAACACAGTTGGCTGACGGAGTGATGCCCATGGTGACCGAGTTACCTGATTGGTCGATGATGCGGCCTTCCCAGGAACTCTGACGTTCCTTGGTGGGGAAGACGGGGATGTAGGTGCCTTTACTGTACGAGGGGCTGGAGCCTGAGTGGACAGGGTTTAGTGGACAGCAATTATTCAATATATAAGTACATATACTGCAGTACTAGCTCAAAGATACAACATGTGCTAAAGATGGTAAACAGTTATAAAATGAAACATAAAAACGTTACAGGGTCAGAAATACATGAGTAAAAATAAAACATAGGAGTTACTAGATCAATGGTTGGTAAATAAGTTAATACTAAAGTTAGAGTAATGATGATGACTGTTGACAACATTTGGTTAAGTTGGGTTAAAACGTCAATAATAAATGTAATCTAACAATGAGTTATTGTTAAGACATCATCAACATGTTTACTGCAAAGACTGGTAAGTTTTAATACATGTTGCTACAAACATACACTTTTTTAAAAATAAATATTCTACTTTGTTCTCACCGATGACAAATTCCACAGCAATCTTGTCTCGGTCAGAGTCGTAGGGTCGGTTGAAGGTAATATTGACCTGGAACTCTTGTCCTCGGCGGACGATGAGAAAGTCAGAGTGATAGTATGAGGTGTGATGCTGCATCTTGTTGATCTCCTCAGGCTTCTTCATCATGTCCACGTCTAAGATGTCCAGATACTCTGGGCACACAGAGGAGAGGGGGACAGTGAGGCCTGGTGGTGGCGCTGTGGATCTGAATGTAGAAGTTCAAAGACTGGACGGAAAAGATTGGAGATCAGCGTTGTGGACTGTGTTTTTATTTCAGCTGTCTCATGCCATGTCCTAAATGACGTATTTCCACAGAACTAGAGATATTTGTGGGAATCTTTTGTCATTAATCAACCACAAAAATGGACACTGAGCACGTCCTGTCGTCCTTATCTCCCTACGTCCACCTCTGTGAGCTCCAGGACGTCAGCAGAATTGACTGGCTTTGGACTGATGTGTCAGTCACTGTCAGGAAACTGCTCCACTGAAGGACTTTATCTGCTGCAACAGGACTCACTGCTGTCGACCAGAAGTCACTGGAGTAGAAACAAGTACAACTAACCAGCTCAATGAGTCACCACCAGGGGCACAATTCTGCTGGTTGAAAAAAGTCCTCTGGTGTAGGATGTTCATAAAAATACATTAAATACACTTGACATTCAATTGATTGGTAAACTTTCTCTACATCAACATGATCATTACTTAGTACTACTTACGATCACTAGTGTACCACAGTAAATCTGGGTCTTTTAAATCCAATAATTTATCAATTCAGTTATGGCAGTTTACATGTTCATTTTGACAGCCCTAATTTTATCCCTTCTTCTTGTCTGTGGTCTGTCAGCATTACCTGATCACATCCACATCCTGTCCTCTAAACACTTCTGTCTCATGGACAAAGACAACCAGTCTCACCCGTCAGAGGAGGAAGTCCTCGTGGGCCTGGTATACCAAAGACCTCAAACTCAGGGACCTCGGTGAAGTCCGAGTTGGAGCTGGCCATGGGAGCGGCCGCACGCCCGAGGGTCGTCACCTTGGGCGGAGGTCCGCTGGGTGCAGGTGGGGCATCAGAGGGGCTGGGGGTGGAGCCTTGTTCAGCCATGATGGTGTTAATACAGAGTCAGTGAAGAACTACAAAAGAATAAAGACTATGTTTTTATTTACTGACAGTGTTTCACAGCCTGCTGCCTGGTATGTGATGTCACGCCCTGAAAACACTCCAACATTAGTCGCGGTCTTTGTTAATCTGTTCCCCAAGGCTGAATTCCCATCATGCTTTGTCTGTTTCTCATCTAGAGTTTTCTCTCATCTGCTGTACATATGTCAAAAAAGTTCAAGTGTGTGTGTGGGTGTGTGTGTCTGTGTGTGTGATTGTGTAGCACATCAAGCCAATAAAACAACAAAGCTCAGATAAAAAAAGTATTTACAGTCAATGAGCGTATATGTGCAGAGAAAGAGTTTTTTGAACTTTTATGTCGCTGCTGTTTTCACTCTGACTCTGTGGTTTGGACCAGGGGGAGTTCTCGGTCCCCGCCCCTCATCCTGTTAACCGCCATTGTTCATTATTCATCTCAGAAATACTGTCTTTGGTTTACACAGTCATAGGCAGAGTGTGAACTAAGAACATGTGAGAGAACAGCAGTAGAATCATCTCCAGTTGAAGCTCCTCAGTCGTCTCTAGGACAACGGAGTCAACAGTCACATGACTGGAGGCTGGAGCCCGATCCAAAGTCAAGACACTAGAAGTCAGAAATAATAACGTCTTCTTCTTAACAGTGTCATTTTACAGACTGCTGTCAAATGACTTCTTTATACTAGGCTGGGAAAATGCATCACATGTGATAGATGTTTGTGTGAAGACCTGGAACTCTTACATCTGAGCCATACAGTTCTGCAATTATGAATTCTGGATGACTACCGTCTGTGCTGCCACCTCTGGTTTGTCTGAGAACAGAGCGCCCAATGTTTTAAACCAGGACTCATGCAGCCAGACAGGGTCTGAGGGTCTCCAACATCTGGTTCACGCCCATCTTATGCAACAGGTGTCTGAGCCCACGCTGACATAAAGTCACCACTGCAGGTTTGGGATAGAACCCATGTGGACTGTGGGGGAGCTGAGGTCATTTTTTAGTTCTGTTCCATGTTCTGCTGGATTTGCTGAGTCACACTCAGGAACACTAAGAGACTTTGTTGTGTATTTGAAGTGTTTACAACCTGGGGTGTGTTTGAAGGTTATATTCTGACACTTTACTCAATGACCTCAGAGGGAGGTGTTTGAGGACCTGGACAAAATCACTGGAAACACGTCCTTCATGAAACATACATTTTGCATGTTGAACACACCGACGTAAAGAAGAAGTCCACAAGAAACCTGGCCGAAACAAAACTTACTTTGTCTAAAACAAATGCAAAGTTAATCATTTTTATACAAAGTCAAAGCATTCAAATCTTAGTTTAACATTTGTGTGAAAAGGTCAGATGGGCATTTAAACAAACTCATTGTTATTCACTCCACTCTGTATTATTGTATATTAATGAAAGAACACGTGCAGCTGTGCTGACCAGAGTTTGAGCTCCTTTCTCTCTGAATCAGATCAAAACTGATCAGCACTTCAAAATACTTCAAATGATTCACACACGCACGTCTGTAAATAATCATCTGCAAATTCAAAGTATCCACAGTTACACAACTGTTGAAAAAAGTGAGTGCAGCAGAAGTGGAGCCGTTACTTACAAGTCGTCTCCGTCAGCCCAGACCAGTCGGAGCAGGAGTTGGTGAGAAGCTGAAGTTGGATGCAGTCAGTCTGCTGCTGCTGCTGCTTATATACCCCACAGGGGCCGACTTTGTGTGTGTGTGTGTGTGTGTGTGTGTTTTGTGGGTGTTGTGGGTGGAACTGGCCAGTCCAAATTGGGAGCAGGCTGTGGAATCTCCCATATCTGCACCAACCACAGCAGGAGGAGGCTCAGACGGATGAAAAGGGCGAGGTGTCTCCAACCTGCTGCTGTCGAATGTAACACAGTTCAACAATGAGACCAAACGATTGTGATGACCAGGGAGGGACAAACACAGGGACAGTTTGTGGAAATACAGCTGCTGAATGGACTGGACCCTGGCTCTGTTCTGGACCCCAGTCCTGTCCCACCACCACATCCAGTCCAAAAGAATTGTATTAAAAGAAGATACATGACAACAGTTGTCTCCTCTTAATGCAACTTTGGCAAGACGACTTGCTAATGTTTGAATTTAACTTCAAACCAGGGAAGGTTGGACCAAGGTTCAGTCTCTGGTGATGAGTCTCTGACTTTGAGTCTCTTAGGAACATCTCTTTCAGGTCAGAGACGTTCCTAATGAACTGACCAGGACCTGAAGTTCAACAGGTGTTGCTACAGTATGGAGTAAAAAACGGTTTGTTGTGTGTTGTTCCGGATGAATGTGCTTTAATTTTAGAAGATCTGATTCATAATTAGCCGTGTGTCAACCACACAGACTAAAAGAGAGTGAAAGACAAACAGTGGTTCCAGGCCCAGCTTTGGTCAGCTGCTGGGAAAGTCCGAGCCACACCAGTTAAGATCAACACATAGATTGGTAACAGAAACCCCACAGTCCTGATAGGCAGTAAACATTTAGGTCATTAAAAAAACAATACGCAAATACATCAGTCGGTGCTGTGGCTGTGAAGAGGTTCAAAGGTCCAAATGGAACATCAACATTTAAAGATCAGTCATTTCTCTGCTGGAAATGGGAACTGAGGAGGAAAAAGAACGACAGAGAGTTGATAGAGTTTATAGAATACTGGAATTAAAGTGTGAACAAAGACCGGGGTCACTGAAGCCCAGCCGACCCGCCTGTTATTACCTCTTA